CTTGGTCAAAAGAATTAATATAAAGTAACAGTAATCTCAAAGCTGTTGTGTACTGTTATGTAATTTAATTTGTATTGAATTTATAATTCTTTATTTAAATAAAGGTAGGTAAGGTAAATTGTATAACTCTTTTATTCCATTTCATATAATGGTCTATCAATCTCTTTCTAGACAGATAATGTTCTTTATAATACAGTCAAGTTAATGTCATTAATTTATTTTTTATATGTTTTGACTAAGTTTAAACACATGTAAGCTTATTAAATGTAAACGTTTATTAAGAAACAGACTAAATCCCGTGGCCGTGAGACTTGGTAGACAGCTCAGTTGGTTAGAGCATCGGCACGGATCGCTTAGGTCGTGGGTTCAAACCCCACCCGGTATTAGTTGATTTTTCGAATTTCTCATTAAATATTTAAGACATTTATTAATTTGGTTGGTTTTTCTATGGCTATGTTAATTCACGCTCAAAATGTGCCTACTCTGTTAAGTTATTCTAAGATCTAAATCTAAAGTAACGTTTAATAAATAACAATAGGCAATTGCGAGACTTACGAGACTCTTGCTGCAAGACCAAGACCAAGAACAAGACTGAGAGCGCAATACCAAGCGAGACAGTAGGGAAGACCAAGACCAAGACTGGCTAAGTCTCGTCTTGTTCTTGCATTTGGGCAACACTATTTATGACGTCATCAGGGTGTCGTCTATCCTTGACCACGGCGCCCAATGAACTGATAATCGATGACGCGCTAAGGATGCGCCAGAGTTGAGATATTAGATTTATTATGTGAAGTTGATTTGATGAAATTTTCTTTTATTTATGTAGCTGATGATAGTTTTAGTTTCTTACCTTTTGTTTCATTCAAATATCAATAATAATTTAAAAAATAACATGCTTGCGTTTAATTTTGAATAGTTTTCAATAAATCTATGCCTAATGCATTACAAAACTAGCGGTCAAACATAGACGACTTTGACGTGCTGGACATAGTATTTCCTTAGATAAAAATCCATTTTTTTTAGTTCAACGTTTCTTAGTACTTGTGGCTTTAGGAGACTTTTTTTTATACTCACATGTTGCTGGGTTATTCCTTTTTGAGGAGTGTAGAATTAAAATACCAGTAATAATTTTCCAATATCTATATTTCATATTTTTGTGGGCCGGGTTTTTTGTCAACTATAGACATCGTTGGCGCTCAGGGCTCGCAGGTGCTGGTCAAGTATAGGCGACTTTGGCACTCAAAAGGTTAATTAAGTACGAAATAATTATATTTAATAGTATTACTTCTTACTCCGTAGTGTTGAAGTTTCGTTTTTTTTATCCATTTTAGTGCTTCGTACATTTTTGAAAATAAGGGTGGAACACGCGAGCTATTTGAAGGTGCAATTTTTTTAAACTAACATACATGTCATTAAACAATATTTTGACATTAGATTGAAATATCTTGTACTATCTAATAATATATAATATCTTGAAAAACAATCAGTCAAAAAACAAGCAATCAAATCCACAATTATATACTACTAGCTTGCCAGGCAGATGTTGTTCAGCCCTTTTCAACGGCCTTTGTCATGTTTTATTAAAAATCCTTAATTTGCAAAAAAAAATTGTGGGTCATACATGGGCAAAAAAGCTATCCTATCTCTCAAGTTGGACAAAACTGCACTGAACTGCACGGTGTGCAAATTTAATTAAAATCGGTTAAGTAGTTTAGGAGTCCATTGTGGACAAACAACGTGACATGTAATTTATATATAGTAAGATAATATTATGTTAATCCTTTTAAGGAGCACTAAATAAATTAAATTTTTGTGTTCGATTAATAAACATTGTTTCATAAATTCGTACCTATGTTTTATTGAACTAAAAAAACATACTTTATAATTATAGCCTACCTAATATTTACAAATACTTACATAATTAAATTAATAACAATACAGTACAATAATGCATAGGCATCAACCTTGGCGCATCACTATTCAACCGATCTAATTATGTACCAGTATTTATCTTAACATCTGGTTATGCTTGGCATAATGGTCAATGAGCGATATGCCTGCTTTATATCTTGCTTATTTATACTCTAAGTTCTGAGCACTCCTATCTATGGGTCTGAGGTCCCTTTTAAATATTACTATACTCTTTAGGTCTACAAATTTGACTTGTTGAAATCCAATCGGTTTTTTCAAAACTTGACAGATTAAATAAGGTAACATAAACTAGTGAGGGTAAAGAAGTTTACATCTTCTTAAAATATATTTAACTAGCAACTTTTGATTAATGACATGCGGTTAAAGTGCAGCTTTTCCACCTTTGCATACTAAATACCAGGCAATCATGCTAGCATTGGGTCAAACTTAATATATATCATAACTTAATAAACAGCAGCACAGACATCTGACTTCAACTATAATATTGTCAACAGAAAAAAATATAGTGATTTAGATTATTTATTGGATATAATGTAAAAGTTTACATCAAAATACCACAAGTGTGCTCTAAAGGTAGGGCTGCTATAGGCGGAATTGCACAGCAGCATAACTGAGTGACTCGAGTTTGTCAGTTGATCAACTTTGCTGTGCAGTTCTGCTGCAGTGTAGTTCTGTTGCCGCTTAATGTGTGTTGTCTCATATAAAGAATATTTTGACACATCGTGTTGCTCAGTTCTGCTGTGGTGTAGTTCCACATAGTGTGATCCTATCTTAACTCAAAAAATAAAATAATATCAGAACTAACAAAAATCAGATAAATAAAGGGTTAAACTATAGACGTCCGGTACTCGCGTACGGTGTTGGGAGGGGGATATTGACAAAAAGTTACTTCTGCAGCGGCCATACGGTGTTGGGAGAGGGGGAGGGGAGAGGGGGTCGTGGGAAGCACCCCCTACCCTTCCCCTGTTGCGGAAATGGAAATAGTTTATGAATAATAATTTTTTTTGTAAATCATAACCTCACTTTTTTATACAAGTATATTGACGCAAAGTTACTTCTGCAACGGCTTCGGCACTGTGGGAAGTGCAGCCCCTTCACCCTTGCGTAGCAAATCACAGGCACCCATGCTCGTCTCCACAGCTTCGGCTTATTGGTCGCCTTTGGTGACCAGCCTCAGCCGCTATGGCTCACTTAGGTGCCTGCAATTTGCTACAGCGGGCGGGGGCTGCTCTCTCTCCGTGCCTACGGCTTTACAAAAACAGTCTAGGGGTAGGGCAGACAAGACTACGTGGAGTTGGGGTGTGCTAATTCAGTTTTAGAACCGATTTGACCAATCTTATCTATAAAGTCTGGTTGCCCTAATGTGAATTGTTATAATTTTCTTTTCTGAATAACCCCTTGACTGCTCTCCACTGCGATTCAATTTGTTATATATAAGTCCCGTCTCCAGCCACAAATGGATTGTCTGGGTCCGAGTGATTAGCTTTCTACAAAATTCATGTGAAAAAAAAAATTATTTCACATCCATGTTGTATGTGTATGCTCGGTTTTCTATGGCAAATATGCCCGCTAAAGGCTGTATATGGAGAGGCCTATGTTCAGCAGTGAAATTTTGACAAGTTGTAATGGTATCCCTCACCCCTCAATGGTAAGCTGAGCACAGCCAATAATCTGAAGATGGCGGCAGTTATTGTGTAATGAAGGTTTGAAAAACTTTATAAAAATAAAGAGAAAGTAAATAATATAAACGATTACTTGAAAAAACTCCATTCTCCAATTGGCTCCAAAAAAACTTTTTTTCTGTGTGTATTAGGTTCATTCTGCCGTCTAAACTGTCCAGTCCAAGGTCTATGAGTTGTGAAACGATACTTTTTGCGAGCTATCTGTGCAGCTGGATATTGTGGATATCCGGTCGGGTTTTTCCAATACACCTACAAATTATAAAAATTACAGAGTACATTTGTTTTTGATAGAAATGTAGGGTTATGTTTAATTTATTTTATAACAAAATACCTGCTCATAACTTCTCTTTATGTAGGATTCTGGTAAATTAGAATACTTAATTGTTAAGTCGCCGACTTTCTTACCCAAAAAACTAAATATCCGCATTTTTAGAAATCTTGAATTTTCATAAAAAAACGGCAAGTGTCAAATTGCAAAAAAAAAATAGCACAGCGCACAGAGAACAAAAAAAACCATAGACATATACAATACAATATACACGTAAGAAAAAAACCGAAAAAAACATCACACTTATTTTTTTTATTTCTAGGCAAAGGTATTTGTGCCCAGAATGCCTAGTCCGATTTGCAATTTGCTAAATATTCACAGAGTTTGTTACAATGTGTTGATAAGTAGATAGCCTTGCGAAGCTTTTGAATTTTTTTACCATAACTTACGGCACCAAAATGGATACAATAAATTGAAATTTCAATTGAAAACCGAAACACTTACTATATCAAATGACACCGATATGTTTATTTTACTTAACCTATCAAAATGTACTTAAAATGTTTTAAACTATTATATAGACGTCAACTATAACTCAAATATATATTAATATATAAGAGCAACGATCCGTTAGCGGTCTAGTCCACAAACTAATGAGAATGATCTAGTTACTCCTGAAACTCTCAGAAATACAAACTCATAATAATTAAATATTCCACTGCTGCTGAGTATGTATGTAAGTTCACACTTTCACGTGACAAAAAGCCTCTCTTGACTTCTCCAGTATTTTTTTATTAATTATCGTGTTTTCTGACTTTATCACCTATAATGTTTATAGATTTCTAGTTAGTCAAAAGATATGAATGTACTTAAAACGAGTTCTCTAGATACGAGGTTACACTCGTATCTAGAGAACTCGTTCTCTCTATTCTGATTAACAAGAAATTTCTTATTTTTGGCATAATGTTAATTTTTTGCACCTTTTAACCAAAAAATTACCACTTGATGTTTGAAACAAAATCTTTAGAATATCTACTTGGTACTGATATGGGAACCCATTCAAGAAGCTTACTGCGCTTGATTTTGGAATGCATTATTTTATGCTAGAAACACAGATCATGTATCTCCCGCCCACGATTATAAGGCTATCTGTGTGTGATACCAGTGACATGGAAAATCAGGTGCCTTGTAAAATTCTGTTGTACGCTTTTAATGCGATGATAATGTTTCTGATAGGAATGATTTTAATAACACTCACACTTTCACAATCACACTCCTATTCACAAACAAGTTTTGCAAAATAATTTTAGTCCTGTGAGTTTGTGTTGTATCTAAAGAATTCAAGGAATATTGTGGCTTCTTTAATAATATATAAATCCATGTAAAAGTTATTTAAAAGTTAACTTCCTGTCAATAGTAACTCCTCGGTCCTTGATTTCTAGTAACTCTTGTTATAGAAATTTTCCATCGAATATCTTGAGACAAATAGCTTTTTCATTCTGGTGTATTTTGCATGAAAACATTTGTTAAAATTAAGAATCATACCATTGACGCCACACCAACCAGTGATTCTATGGAGATTTTCTTGTATTAATTTAGTGTCTTCATCTGAATTTGTAATTTTATAGATTTTTAAGTCATCGGCATAAAGTGAGCACTTGCAATGTTTTGCCTCTGTAGTGATGTAATTTATGAAGGCCAAAAACAGATAGGAACCCTGTGGTACCCCAGAACGAGCGATGTATTTCTCAGATTCAAACCTATTTACTACTACCGTTTGAGGTTTCTGGCTTAGATAAGATTCCAATTCCATTTATTTAAAGAGGTATTGATGCCGTATTGTGAAAGCTTATTTATTATAAATCATAATCTGATGGTCACCTTTATCAAATGCGCGAACAAAATCGGCATAAATAGCATCGATCTGTTGTCTCTTATCCCAAGCTAAAGTAACTAATAAGTTGACTCTGCTGCCCTACTGATGGGTGATTTGTACAGAATATCATAGAATATAAGCTCAAAATGCTGTTTGGGTAGTAGTGATTATATACTCTTTGCTTATCACTTATCCTTAGTCTGTGATCAAAGCAAAAGGCAAAAGCACAGAAAGACAGAAAGAGAAAATATTACTTTCTATTAAAAGTCTCAAACTCCGTTATCTGATTACTTAGGAGTCTGTATATATATGTTATGGACCATGAGTATTTAGATTACTTAAATTTTAAATTATATTCATCTCTTCCTCTTCATCACTTCATCATCAGTCCGTACAGTTCACATCTGGACCACAAAGTACATAAAATGATCTCTTTCGTTGCAAAGAGGTTTATCTGCATTCCTATTAATTATTAAATATTACAGTTGATCTCAGTGAACATAATGTTATTATTTATTTGAATAACTCAGCTCAATAATTTATAATATATAGTTAAAGCTCAATAGGTCCAGTTGCATAGACAATTGACGTAAATCAGCTGTCCATTATCAGTTGTTGTAGGTGGCAGCACAGAATCACGTGAATTTTCATGGCGGTGTTGTAGGGCTAGTCCCGTATAGTCTTGTGATTTCACCGAAAAACTGCTGTTTTTTAATATTTATTGATAAACAGCATATTTATTTAAGTACCTCGTAAGTATTATAAAGTGTTTAGATTTGTGGTGAGTAAATTTACGCCGTGAGAGACTTTTGCGCGCGATTACTAATTGTCAAAATTGGTCTGACTGTCGTACTAAGGGTGGTTTGGGGTGTAATTTCTAAGCGATACATGTCTGGCGCCAGGATGTCTGGCGACCCAGTGGGCGACGATACCTTAGACTTGATATTGATTTACTGCATTAGCTGCCTTAAGGTCAGATTCGTCTATAAACACCATATCGCTTCCTGCTCCCAAGAATGGAAGTCTCGCAAAATCGATTGTTAGAACAAGATGAAATAGATTAGTTTTAATAAAGATGTAAAATTGCTTGGGTATAAATTAGCAATTGATTAACTTATTTTATTTTTATTGAACTTATTACTTACTGAACTTCATTATTTTTCAGCGGTGAATATGACTGAATATTGGCTTATTAGTGCGCCTGGCGATAAGACCTGCCAGCAGACCTGGGACAGCCTTAATAATGCCACCAAATCGGGCAACCTTAGTGTCAACTACAAATTTCCTATACCTGACCTAAAGGTAAGACATTTAGTTTTTTTTTAAATTAAGAAATTGTCATAATCTCCACTTTATCAAAATATATTATGTTGAGACTAATCCTGTTGTTAAATAATTGATTTATTTTATTTGAATTACCCTTTTGTAGTAGAGTCATCCTTTATTCATTCCGTTACATCCTACAAAAGTCTACTGCTTAATAACACAAGTTTCCCCCATAGATTGGTGAATTTCACCATAGATGCCACACTTGGCAGGCGGTTGGCAACTGTAGTTTTCTGCCATTTTGAGTTATCAAGAAGATACTGCTGCCTATCTCCTGTTTCAGTTTCCATTCCATGTCGCCTTTTACAATACCAACAAGATGATATGGTGTAGTGGTAGAGCCATTATGCAGGATAAAGTGTTCAGTTACACTGGGGAGAAACACACCTATTACCAGCTTGAAATAGTAGCAAAATGCTGGTGTGTTTTGTATAATAAGTGTTGAAAACCAGAAACCATTTTTAACTAAAGCTTCCATCCTAGTCCTAAAGGATGACAATGGCCTTGCATTTTGATTCTAAGTGATGACAAATGTAGGTGTTTGTTAGGTCACAGGATCCACTTACCATCAGGTGGACTGTTTGTTTGTCACCGTTCACTCTCTAGATCTCTTCCCACTTTTTAGACAGTAATAGGACTGAAAATCTGAAATTTTAGATTTTATTTTTCTAGGTAAGAATAGGTGGATGCTGATAGTTTATTCATGGATAAAAGCCAACTTCAAAAGCAGTTTTTAGAAGCAACACCCAGACCCTCGGGCCCCGGCCCCCCCCGCAGCCCACACCACATAACACCTCCACCCCGCCCCACCATATGTTATAATAAAGCTATAGCTATGTGTACAAGTACTCGTTCTGTGCAGCATTCCAAATTTTATTTTAAAAGCTTAATGATATGCCCGTTTTTCTGGACTAAGCAATACCATGACCTAAGCGTTACCATGTAACAACTAGAATGTTGTCTAATTAGTTACACTGAATATTTCATCCCCTATTATTCCAACTGTAGTGGTGAAATTATTTCTTGAAGCTTGAGACCGCCATTGACATTTACCCTATTTGCTTATAAGACAAATTTAAAATTGGTTCCTGATTGGAGAAGATATCAAATAACATACATACAAAAATAAATATACTTAAATTCAGAATCTACTTCCCTTTTTGGAAACCAGACCTGTTATTTTATTGTTGATAAAATCATTAACATGGATCAAATCTGTGAATGTATAATTTAAAAAAAAACATGTGTGGCTTAATCCATCATCTATATGTGCGTGAATGGCTAAATCTCAAACTATGAGGAACAGGCGAAAATGCTCAAAATTCTAGACCCCTCCTTTTTAATATGATTTTTCAAAAATGAATTTTGCTAGTCAGAAATAACCTTTTATTTGACAAAAAAAACCACACCTGTGTACCTGTAATGTTGCTGATATGGATCAAATTTTCTCAACTAAAATGAAATAGCAAAATATAGTTTAGTTAAAGGTTGTAGTTAAAAGAGTTCTATTTTGAATGAAATGAAACTTTTTGTCAAAGCATTTCTCCCCTTGACAAAATACCTAATATGCCTCCACTAGAGTAAATCACCAACCACGGACTTAATCAATCTTCATATCACAGAATCCAATATTTTTTTAAGTGAAATCATCATTCATCATCATTACAGCCCTTCACAAGTCCACTGCTGAACATAGGCCTCCCCCAAGTAATGCCACAAAGCACGGTCCTGAGCCACCTGCATCCATCGACTTCCTGCATATCTTACCAGGTCGTCACTCCATCTAGTGGGGGGTCGCCCTACACTACGCCTACCGATACGAGGCTGCCACTCGAGAACCTTTCTTCCCCATCGGTTATTGGTTCTTCGAGCTATATGGCCGGCCCATTGCCACTTCAGCTTACTAATCCATTGGGCTATGTCGGTCACTCTGGTTTTACTGCGGATATCCTCATTTCTGAGTCTATACGCAGAGAAACTCCGAGCATAGCCCTATCCATAGCTCGCTGAGCGACCTTGAGCGTCCTCATACGGCCAGCAGTGAAGGACCACGTCTCAGATCCGTAAGTCATCACTGGCAACACGCACTGGTTGTACAATCTAGTTTTTAGAGATTGAGGTATACCTGACGAGAAGATATGTCGGAATTTCCCGAACGCTGCACAGCCGAGTTGAATCCGTCGATTGACCTCTCGGTCGAAGTTGGACTTACCTAGTCGGACTATTTGTCCCAGGTAAACATACTCGTCAACAACTTCGAGCATAGTGCTTCCAACAACTACCGGCATAGGTGTGACATGGACATTAAACATGATCTTTGTTTTGTCCATGTTCATCTTAAGACCTATCCGTTGGGAGGCACTATTGAGGTCATTGTGCTTAGTGTTTAAGTCCTCCAGCAATTCTACCATAAGGACTATATCGTCGGCAAATCAAAGGTGAGTGATGTACTCGCCATTGATGTTAATACCATATCCTTTCCAGTCCAGTAGCTTGAAAACGTCTTCCAATGCAGCGGTGAAGAGTTTCGGGGATATAATGTCACCCTGTCTTACACCTCTCTGCAGTTGGATAGGTTTCGAGCTCTGGTTCCATACTCGGATAGCCATCGTAGCCCTACTGTACGAACACTTCAGCACCTCGATATACCGACAGTCAACTTGGCACCGCTGAAGGGACTGTAGCACCGCCCAAATTTCGACGGAATCAAAGGCTTTCGCATAGTCCACATACGCCAGGCAAAGTGGCAGATTGTACTCTTCAGTCTTCTGTACAATCTGCCGCAGGGTATGTATGTGGTCTATGGTACTGAAGCCTTTTCGGAAACCGGCTTGTTCGGGCGGCTGGAAGTCGTCGAGTCTGCGTGCGAGACGATTCGTAATGACTCTCGAAAACAGCACGTAGACGCGGCTCAGAAGGGAAATCGGTCTGTAGTTCTTCAAGAGAGCGTTGTCGCCTTTCTTAAAGAACAAGACCACCGCACTTCTGCTCCACGCCTCTGGAGTAGTGCCACCATGGAGGACGGAATTGAAGAGCTTCTGAAGGACTTCAAGTACCGGTGTTCCACCCGCTTTCAGAAGCTCCGCTGTAATTCCATCCTCGCCTGGGGCCCTGCCGTTTTTAAGGTGCTGGAGAACCATTCTAATCTCGCTTAGACTGACGTCGGGGATATCATCGGAATAGTGTCGGATAAGACTTGCTCTTGGATCGTTACTCACACTTGCGTGTGGCTCCAACGATGATGTGTACAGCTGCCCATAGAACCTCTCAATCTCACTCAAAATCTCAGGTGTCCCGGAAACGATGCTGCCACACTCAGTCTTCAGCTTTGACAGTTGGCTCTTACTGGCAGACAGATCTCTGGCAAAGACTTTGGAGCCCTGATTCCGCTCGATCGCTTCTTTAATACGAGCAGTATTACATACATACATACATACATACATACATACATAAACACTCACGCCTGTCACCCAGAGGGGTAGGCAGAGACTACAGACTTCCATTTGGCACGATCCTGACACACCTCTCTTGCTTCCTTCACATCCATACACCTACGCATACATGCTCGTCGGTTAAGGGTACTCCTAATTTGGCCCGTTTTCAATAAATCGTCAATTTGGCAGTTGAGCAGTATTAAAGTTGCGTAAGTCTCGCCGCATGCATTTGGAGATCTGTCTGTTCAGTTGCCTGTATGCTGTCAAATCTGTTGACGATTGCAGCCTTATCTCCCGTCTAACAGCCATGAGATTAAGAGTGTGATCGGAGAGTTTTTGTGTTCTTCTGCGGCGGGTCTTGCAGAACTTAGCTCCCATCGCATGGACAGTTTCCACGAGCTTGTCATTCATATCGTCCACTGCGGTTACGTAACTCGAGCTGAAAGTTTTCGGATTCTGGATTAGAGCACGAGGGGGACGGAGCGTTGACTTCATTAGACGAGACCTCTCCAACTTAACGTTTAGGTTCAGTGTGCCTCTAACCATTCGGTGATCGCTGCCGGTTTTCACCCTTGCGATCACTGAGACATCACTGAACAGTTGGCGTCTGGTCGTCGTAATGAAGTCAAACTCATTTTTTGTCGAACCGTCGGGGCTCGACCAGGTCCACTTCCTGTGGGGCCGCTTCTGGAAGAAAGAGTTCATCATAAAGAGTCCCTCTTTCTCCATAAAGTCAGCCAGCTGCTGGCCCCTACGGTTCCGTTGCCCTCTCCAAATTTCCCTAACTTCAGCTCACCGCCTTCTCTTGTGCCTAGTTTTGCGTTGAAGTCTCCCATCAACACCGTGTAGTGGGTTTTGGAGGAATGCATGGCTCTAGAAATATCCTCATACATTTCCTCCACCTCCTCATCGGGATGTGCCGAGGTTGGTGCGTAAACCTGTATGACCTTCAGCGAATACCGTTTGGTGATTCTGAGTATCAGGTACGCAACCCTCGTCGACACACTCCCAATCTTTACAACGTTGTTGACGAGAGACTTGTGGACGATAAATCCGACACCTCCTTGGGACAGATGGTCGCCCCCGGTGATAGAACAAGTTGCCGGATTCGAGAATCACCGTGTCCTCCCCCCTCTCTTCGGACCTCGGATAATCCTATAATATTCCAGCGCAACTTGTCTATCTCTTCTTCCAGCTCCAGGATCTTCTCGTCAGTCCTCAGGGTGCGTGCGTTAAATGTTGCCAGGTCGAGTCGTCGTAGTCGCCGCAGTTTTTTTTTGTCGTACAGTTGCTGTTATCAGGAAGATGCTGCTACCCATCTCCTGCCTGTTTCCCTCTGTCGCCTTTTACGACACCCGCGGGAAGATACGGGGTACTGGATATTCTTAACCGCCACTACATGGCTTGAAGTGAAAACTTCCATAAAATGTTTGTAATTGGAAACTCAATGAAATGAACAAGCAACATTGAAAAAGAAACAAACGTAAATATCAATAGGATTTAGTGTGTGAGATAATGAGATATATATTATATTGTAAAATTCTAAATTGTGGATGTAGAGGCCCCTACGCGATGGGTCCTTCTTCCTTTTAAAACTTTCTTTATCACTAAAATGTGTTTTTTTTTAGAAAAAAAAAACTGGTATTAGTACCAGTGTGGTCTTAAGCAATATAAGGTCCCATAGGCAGTTTTCTTCTTTGCGTTTAGGTAAATAAAGCCCTGTCCACAAAAACCAACACAAATTAGAAATATTTATATTGTATAGGAGTCGAAACATAATAGGATGCTCTCTTTTATTTCTATTTATTAGTATTAATGTGAAAGAGTCAATATGTCCTCCTCAATATGTCCTCCTCACCAAATTGTGGTCATGGCGGCCAGTCTCGTAGGGTAGCCATCTGTGCGGGATAGGATTATAGTGCATGAGCCTATGCAAAAGTACATATGCACTCTCTATTCTCTTACTCTCCTAGTCTGATGGGATGGAAATGAGACACAACCGAGGAGAGATCAGGCACAAGAATAATGGCTTCAATTGCTTTCCGAGGCATGGAATAAAACACAGCCAACTTCCTCCTGCTTCCGGGTTGTTTTTCAAGAATTTTTTGACAGAAAAACCCAAGGACTAATTTTGGCCTAATCTGGGATTAGTACACAGAACCACATAGCCTATAGTTACACTGACACTCTTACATTACTTATCTACTACTCTTATTGGTGGTTAAACTTCTTTTCTGTTTTCCATCTGGGTAGGTTCCAGGTAGATGGTATCTGTCCAGACAGTGGTGAAAAAACCAAAAAAGCAATACCTGCACTTACTTTTTTGTTTCATTTGTACAAACATTGGATATAATGGAAAATAAATAGGATATAATGGAGATATCGAAAGTTATAATAACGGTTATGTAACAAACGAGCATAAATACACTCTAGCTGATAATACTAGATGCTGTGGTCTAAAGGCACATACATCTCTTAATATTTAATCTTCAGTTAAAATCAATATTAAGATCCGTCATCCACTAAATGCAAATAAAACATGGAAGTAATCCTAGCTTTATTTTTTATAGAATGACAAATGAGCACACAATCCGCTTGATGGTTGTTGGATGCTGTGGCCCATAGACATCTACATTAATCCTCGATTAAGAATCAAAATGCAGATGTATTGTCACCCCTGAGGACTAAGATGGGATTCCTCGTTTCTAGTAAAAAAGGTTCTCCGAATCTACGCTCACCATACGGAACACAAGTAGTACTAAGCTGCTATTTTACACTGGTATTCTGTGAGAGTGTGGTCCTTCCCCGGTCAAGCCAACCCATTCGTGCTACAACCATAATATAGCTGCAGTGTGTCTCTTCCTCTTATAAGATCCTAGCTCCAAAAAATGATCCAAGGCAAAGTGAACTAGTACGTGTGGCTTACCAATTGCGCTGTGAACTAATTTAGTCCATCCTTCCATTACAGCCTATAAAAGTCCACTGCTGAACATAGGCCTCCCCCATAGATTGCATCATAGATGGATTTTGCCATAGTTGCCATGATTGGCCAGCGGGCTGGCAACCACAGTTTTTTTATTGTTATCAGGAAGATGCTGCTGCCTACCTCCTCTTTTTACACCTGTCGCCTCTTATGACATCCGCGGGACGATATAGGGTAGTGGATATTTTTGCACCGCCACTACAAGGTTATATGTCACCATCATAATACTAATTAATGACAATTTGCATTGCAAATTTTTACATAAAACATCCTTGGCAGTGAGTGACGAACACAATGACATCATATATTAAACATTATAGGCGATTTAAATACATGTTATGGCAAATTGAAATTAAAATCCATGGGAGAAATAAAGTCACCTTTTTTTTAAATTTATTTCCATATTAACTGCATGTCACCCCTAAAACATTCAATTTTGCATTCGAACCAAACAGTTTGCTTCGTCGTTCATCATTCATACAGCAAAAGATTGGAATAAGTTGCCAGCATCTGTCTATCCATCCGATTACCGTGTATAATAGGTTTTTATTATGTCAGTGCGATTCACCATCTTAGGCAACATCACCACTTACCATCAGGTGGGATTGTAGCTAAGCGCTGGCTTAGAACAATTTAAAAAAGAAAAGCTAAAATGAGTAACGAGGCATTATATTAGTAACTAGAAAAATTTTAAAAAGATTATATATAATTTCTGTAATATACCATGTTCTTTTTCATATTATTACATTGTCACCCAATTCTGAGCTTATGCTGAGCTCATAGCTCATGGGTAGTTTGTTTAAAATCAATTAATAAATTTGAACCGAACAGACTCATAGAGCAATAACTATCCCATATCATCCCATGGGTGTCGTAAGAAGCGACCAAGGCAAATGAAAGGAGATAGACTACAACATCTTTCTGTTAACAACTCAAAATAACAAAAAACTGCAGATGTCAGCCCGCTAAGCATGGCACCTATAGCCAACTAGTAATTTTGTACAACCAACTTCAATAAGACCGAATCATTGTATTCAAAGTCAATTAAACGCGCATTATTTATGGATAACTCAAAAAATCTTTCACAGATTTTGATCAAATTTATATGAGACCACATGAGACGCACCAGTTTTCAAATAAAAAAAGAATCATCAAAATTGGTTCACACCCACAAAAGAGTTCTGAAGTAACACACATAAAAAAATATCGTCGAATTGAATACCTCCTCCTTTTGAAGTCGGTTAAAAATATCTTCCCTACGAGGTAAACTCATAGGCAAAAGGCAGATAAGGGTATTTCCGAAAAAACGAGTGTACTGTCCAATGCAAATGACTACAAACATACACTCCGCATTTTTAATTTTTTGCCGAAGAACACCAGAGTAATTCAAATAAAAAAATTATAGAATAATTGATGGTATATCCATAGGAGGAAATATTTGGACCACAAAATAAAAATAATCGCCAACACTTTTCCAAATGGCGAAAAGTATAATTACTTCCATACTCAAATACACTTGTATTTCGGACATACCCTTAATGCTTACAGGTACGGTTGCCAGGTCTTAAAACCGAAAAGACGGACAGGCCAGCGTCTTAACCCTTAATTTTTTGACAATTTTTTGAACATGACAATTTTTTTTTAAAGTAAAACAATACTTTTTATTATTTACCATAAAATCTTCAATTCTAATGAAATAACAACAATTCTATAAATCTGTCTTCTTTATTATTAATCATTCAATATTTGTTACAATATTAATTACACTAATTACATGACATCTATACTTATGGTGTATGTTATTATATAAAGAAAATATATTAAATTATGTGTGAATCAGACCGCCGCGTGTTATGTCTGGTTTTGGTCTAATGTATTTTGAACAATATTAGGTGTCAATCATCTTGTATTGACAATCGGGTATCTCATTGGTTAGCCGGTTTTCTTTAGAATTCAGTTGTGTAACACACTAATTATTATTTACTTTATCACTTTTTATGTCTTCGATACTGCATCCGTCACTGCATCCGTCACTTAACCAAACAAATCATGCAAACCGAACGACCGACGTCGCAAAGTACGACATATAATGTCCTTGGTTAAAGTGCCCAAGCGTATCATGCGTAAGCGCAGGTGCACTCTATTCCCTCACTCTCATAGTCCGATGGGACGGTTGTTTGGCACGATCGGAAAGAGATCAGCACCAACGGCTTTTCGTGCTTTCCGAGGCAAGGGCGTGAAATACTGCCAACTTCCTAACTCCGGGCTGATACTGAAAATTTCTTGACAGGAATACCCAATAACTGATTTTAGAAGTCTTACATGGTGCTGCTGAGTTTTTTTTTAAATTATTAAAGCAACACTAGACCAGACTATCCAGACCCGAAACAATGATTTGCAAGACATGTAAACATTGTTCCGTGTGGGATTCGAACCCGCGGTTTCTCCGCAATAGTTTCACCATCATCTATTGAAGGCTAGAAGGGTCTCCTGTCATTTTCTCTATCGCCTCCGCGACACCCATGGGATGTAATGGGGTTATGGATTCTTTTACGTCACCACCACCACTACCACTATTCACTACTTCCATGATGTTGTCAGAAATTCAAGTTTTAAAAGTACATATTTTATACTAATTATGTTCATATATTCATTTATTGCCTATAAAAGTCCACTGCTGAACCTAGGACTCTCCAGAGCATAGTCTCTCCAGAGAATTGGGAGATTTTTGCCATAGTTGCCACGCTTGGCAGGCGGAATGGCAGACCCAGTTTTTTATTATTTTGAGTTGTTGTTTAGAGGATGCTGCTACCCATCTCAGAGGCGATAGAGGGAAACTGGAACAGGTTTCAGTTTCTCTCTGGTCACCTCTTACGACACCCACGGGAGGATTTGGGGCAGTGGATATTCTTACAAAGCCACTACATGGTTAATTATTAAATATAATACATATGTTTAAAATTTCTTGATTAGGTCGGGACATTGGATCAGTTGGTGGGGCTGTCAGATGACCTCGGAAAGCTTGACACCTTCGTTGAAGGTGTCACAAGAAAGGTGGCTCAGTACCTTGGAGAGGTGAGTGTTGATTATTTTTCAAGGAGACTATTATTTTGACACTTACGTCGTTGTTTATTTTTGGGAATGTCATGTATATTTACATACTGACAAATATAAATTAACTTAATAAAAAACGCAACATCTGCGGAACGGTGATATGCTAGAGGTTACTTTAACTTACTTTACTTTAAATTTAGATTAGTTTTTTTTTTTTGAGTAAATCCATAAAATTTTGCAATAAAATTCCTAAAATATAATGTAAGAACCGGATACAAGTTTTAAAATCTTCTTAAGGAAATATTGTTGTAAAAAGTCCACTGGCAACCCTTGCTACTTTAAAACTTTTGTTGTTATAACAGACATTTAAAAATATTTATTTAACTCTATAGTACTTGGATGACCGAGCTTTGCTCGGTATTTTTTTTTGGAAATCATGTTTTTTGGAAATTAGTACGAATTAGATACAAATTACATATTGATGAAATATAAATAATATTTTTCGATCTTACCGACATAATAAAAAAAACTGAACTGGTTATTTAAATAAAAAATCATGAGAGCAATTAGTTTAATTTAATTATTTGTGTTTTTAAAAAAATACTAAAAAGGGGCTCGAAATAAAAAGGGAAAGGGAACTTGAAAAAAAAAAGGAAAAAAGTCGGACCGCCCGATGTCCCATTTGAACTATTATTACCTGTAAGGCGCCGGCAAAATTTACCTTCGTATTCTAATGATATTATAGCAGTTTATTATTGCCTGAAAACACGGATAAAACGACATTTTCGAAAAACGAATCGTGGCTAGATCGATTTATTGCCCCCGAAACCCAATTACACACAATTTAGAATTTCATGAAAATCGTTGGAGCCGTTTCCCAGATTCCGATTATATATATATATATACACACGAATTTCTCGTTTAAAGGTATTGGATAAGAGATTTCCACATATCTACTAATTCATCACGGTATATCTGCAACCATAAGGCCTAGAGACTTGAAATTTGGTAGGTCCATCCATCCACGTCCATCCCGGAATATTCCTTTCGCCAAGTAGAGGTCACCTAAGAACGGATTTTACGAAATCCCACCCGCAATCGAGTCCTATGAAGCTGTAAGAGTCGCGTAGGCTAGCAGCATTAACATCATAACCATATATAAAGTTTGGCCAGAATATTCTTTTTCGCATGTTAAAAATTACCAAGATAGAATTTTATGAAATTCCACCAAGGCAGTGCGGGGGAATTAAAAATAAAAAAAATTAAACTTTTAATCTATAGCTCCTACAGGTTTTAGTCAACAGTAGGAAATTTGGTGAAATTATTATCCTTGTCATCTTGAGTTCAACTGAGAACTAATTTTACGAAATTCCACTCACGAAGGGGATTGCGAGGGCGTTATCATGAAAGTAAAAAACAATAATTTATTATAGTTCGGGCTATAATGAATAATAAAATTAATCTGTAGAATTTCTTTGTGTGTATTTGAATGGATTCCTGGATGGTTTAAAAGCTCAATTGGACCCGGTAGGTGGTGGTGTTGTCGAGATCTAGAAATCACCCGTGCGAAGCCGGGGCGTATCGCTAGTCTATGGGTATGTTCCGAAACGTTTCCAGTATACTGCCGAATACAAGTGACGTCATCAATTGACGCCATATTGTACTGGCGTGCCGCCGTCATATTGTGTCGGATATCTGGCCATATTAAAACAATTTTTAATTGTGTGTACACTGAGTGAAGCATCCAGAATTTATTTTTATTTATTTAAAAATACAAAAAATTATAGAATAATTGCTGGTATCTCCATTAGGAGGATATAATGATTTTTGGAGCACAAAACGACAAAATAATCGCCAACACTTTTCCAATATGGCACAAATGTATGACGTCATATACTGGCCTATGTTTTGGAACAAATCACCAGTATGGCGTCGATTCATGACGTCATTTGCATTGGACAGTACACTGGGTTCTATTTTGGAACATACCCTATATATAAATAAGCGAAACACCACTAATTGACGGACTGACTCATCACGAGATTTCTAATGCCGGCACATGGCCGAGCTAAGCAACGCCCAAAACCAACGTGTATACGGTTCGTTTGGCGTGACTTCACACGCCACGACTCGTCTCACTTCGGAACGGTGTCGGTTTTTTTGCACAAATCAAAGGCGTTCGCCTGCACTCGGCAATTCGTGTACACATGTTATTTGACCGTTCAATACTACTATCATAGTAGTATAGTAGCACTCAGCTTGTATCAATTTGCCTACGTTCGCGTTGGCTGAGGCTTGGCCAACTTCGGCTTAAAACTTTACACCCCCGATTGACTTGAAAGTTAGTATAGTTACTCATTATGCAACGTGGACGCTCACTAAGAACGGATTTTACGGTATTCCCTTCAAAAAAGATTTCTTGATATTATACATCCAGGTATTTATTGTGTGGTATCAGCTAGTTGTAGCTCAGTTAGCCGTGGTAGCTCAGATGGTTAATGCTTGCTGTAAATATAACAGAACGCGAGTAACCCGGGTTCGATCCCCGCCGGCACCAATGAAATTGTTAATTGCAATTTTAAGTGCTCCTTTACCACGTGCTCGGCGGAGAAGGAAAACATCGTGAGGAAACCTGCATGTCTGAGGAATAAGAAAAAAATATTTCGAAGACATGTGAAGTATATAATTTTTATCTCGAATAGGTCGGCTCGACCGTGGATGAACCACGCTCTCATAGAATACAAGCGTAAAATAGCAGCTTAATGCTGCTGTGTAAAGCGAAGACAACCGGAGACACTTTTTACTGGAAACGAGGTATTCCATCTTGGTCCTCACGGGTAACAACGCATCTGCATTTTGATTCTTAATCGAGGATAAATGTCTGATTAAAAGTCTATGGGCCACAACATTCATTTACCACCAGGTGGACTGTATGCTGTTTGTCACCCTTATTTTATAAAAATTACACTTTAAAAATTTACTTGACAGGTGCTTGAAGATCAACGTGACAAGCTCCATGAGAACCTGATGGCCAACAATAGTAAGTGATTACATTTTTCACTAGATTCACTTAATTTTCTCATTTGTTACGAAACTTTTCGACTAGATTGGTTTTTAAAAATTGATACAGTTGAATCGTTAAAGTGCCATCAAGTTAATTTTACTACCTCATACATATTTTGAATTAGGAAATCGTTAATCGACTAGAGATAAATAGATTTTAATAATTATAATGATTTAAATATAAAATTTACTTTGCATGATGGGAAGTTAAAAGAAAAAATATATTTAGCATGTGTGGGAATTATTAGACAAATGATTACAAGGCTATGTTGAAATTCCAGCAGTGGTGTTGCTAGCATGAATAACTAATTTCGAAACATAGAAGTATGAACTGATGTAGAGGAATAAATGAATTAAAAGCACACAGTAGTGCGAAATTTTAAGCATGTCTCGCTGAATTTCGGTGGTCGTTATTTTATATTTCTTACTTTTTTATTTTATATTTTATTTTAGATGAAACTTTTTTATATTTTGCATGTAACCCTTTACTTTTGATCACACTAACTCACGCATTTTCACGCAGGCATTAAAATGACATTTGAAAATGTTTACATCATCTGTTAAATATACACATTGCACAATATTTTAAACATTGTTACAAATTGTATATTTTCATTTACGTACAGAATTAAACTCACTTGAATAATAACAATCAGACAATCACGTAAGCACCTATCTGTACATATTTTGTAATTTTCTTCTCCTTTAACTCTGGCAAACCTTCTCTTCCGATTGTCACTTTTGAATTGGCGGCTTTCTTAAGTATTAAAAAAGTTATTTTATTTTTAAATAGTTTTTGAAAAAGTATTAAAACATAATATTGCCAGTTATTTATTGACACTACGAAAATATGGATTATATCTTTTATATATATTTGTTATCTGTAAAATGATGGCCTAAAAGTTTTGTAATTATTCTGATCTATTGATGATGCATTATAGAATATATATAGCCTGGAAGAGATGGTTTGTTTAGGTTTCACCCACTATTAGCACAATACAGCAAAAGCTAAGAATGTTGTGTGGACAGTGTTTTAGATCACTAGGGTTCATTTACTTAAGACTATTTTGAACCCTTGCAATTTTTGACATGTAGGTATATATTAGAGGGAGTATTGAATGTATGTTTGTAAATATTTATGTTGCACTTTTGAAAACTATTCGTTTTGAAGACATTCTTCAGTAATAGGTAAAATCGGCCGTATATTAATTATATAAGCTCTATTCAGATTTTCGCTCGATATTACCTGTGGGAAAGGTGAAAGCTAGATATTAGACTAGCAATATTTCATTGGTAGGTACATTATATATTTTTTTGAAAATACTTAATTTAAATATATTACAATTTTTAGTTAATTATACTTAAAATTATGCATTGAATGTTGTTGATGAAAAACTGTTTTCGGTACTTTATTATTATCTATGCACAAGTTTTATATATATTTAATGCTTTTTCACATATCAGTTTTAAATTTAGTTATGAATGAATTCATTCAGCGCTCTATAGTATTTAGATTTTATATCTAGATTTCGTGAATGCTAGACTTGGGATTGCATTTCAGTGTCTGAAAAGTGGAAAAAAGTTTGCGGCAGTGAGTAAATAGATTTTGTTATACAGTTAGTTGTATTTGCTTCATCGCATTAGCTTGCTGTTACGTTGCCGCAGCTGAGAAAAAAGTCAGTTACTTTATGTGTTTACATAGAGAAATGAAAATTTAAGTTATATATAATATTTTTGTATATGTAACATGTAATCTATTTTACTGTGTATATAATTTTATTGTTAATATATAATACATATATTTACTATCCAAAAATGTCCTAGTAGTGCTACAACAATAAAAGGTTTACCGGTTTTATTTTTAACGTGTTTTTCTTGTTCAGTATTTGTAATTGTGTTAGCACGAGGACTTCATGCTGCAATTATGTTTTGGTGAGGATAATAGTTTTTACTTTTAATAAAATTTAGTACAAGTGCATTAAAAAATAATGCCCAAGTGTAGACTTAATGTCTATATTAAGGGTAGGGGATTATGCTGCGGATATCATTTATAATATGCTACAGTCATAGTTATAATTCTCGAAAAAATTTACACTTTTAGGTACAATTAAAATGCAATATTTCATAGTTAACAAGGAAGAATATTGTTAGTAAATTGAAACCTATTTTATTAAGGGATTAAGGGTTGTATTAAGGGATTTTAGTGTTCACAATAGGTAATTAACTAAATTCTTTCTTCTGAGAAAATGTTATTGATATCTGAACTTGCACGCTCATCGGTAAAGCGGGCCTATAAAATAATCTTACTCCCGGCCAATGCAGAGGTAATAAACCCACATACAATTTTCAAATAAAGATTTATTTAAATTTTATTTAAAAAATATGGTCAAGTTTTCTGGAGTGAAGTTTGTATACTGATTCTGATAAGGCATTTAACGGGAACCAAGGTTTTTGTTACGTGAATAAGTAACAAAATTCTGAGCTTTTATAATGTACGACAGTGGCAAGTGGATCACTAAAATATAACAGTTAATTGGGGCGTTTTATCGTTGGGCTCAGATCAAAATAGAAAATTATACGGATCACTGTCTAATTAAAAACGTTGCGTGTGCGTGTGCGTATGCGTGCGTGCGTGAGTGCGTGCTTGCGTGCGTGCGTGCGTGCGTGTGTATATATTTGTGTGCATCGAGCAGTGATCTTTTATTGCGAACGTAAAAATAAGGACGTAATGTTGACGCACAACACTAAAAATAAATGTAAACACCCTAAGCCCTACAATTTTGTTTGTATATACGTAAGATACACACAGACAAATGACAATCGGCGTCTGTATGCAACGGACAATGACGTATTTGTGTGCGAGTAGGTATCTATTCTTTTATAGAGTAAGGGTGACAATTGAACAAACAGCTGATAGTAAGCTGTAATGCTGTGGCCCATAGACGTGTACATTTATCCTCTATTAAAAGGATGAAATGATGAAACTTGTGTCTGAAGTCGAGTCTTTGCTGCACAAAGTCTCGGAATGGGGGCGACTTAATCTAGTCCAATTTAACCCTCAGAAGAAACAAGTTTGCGCGTTAACCGCTAAAAAGAACCCCTTTGTCGTATCTCCTCAGTTTCAAGGCACTCCCCTTGTTGCCTCAGTCAGTATCGGAATCCTCGGCGTCGACATATCGAGTGACGTGCAGTTTCGTGGTCACTTAGTATAATTCATGCAGATGCATTGTCACCCCTGAGAGCTAAGATGGAATGCCACGTTTCCAGTAAAAAGCGTCTCCGGTTCTCTACACTCACCATGTGAAACTTAACAGCATTAAGTTGCTATTTTATGCTGGTATTATGTGAGAACGTGGCCTTACCCCTATCGAGCCGACCCATTCTTGCTACGATCATAATACAGCTGCAGCGTGGCTCTACCACGTATGACGGACAAATTGTAGGACCTATGGTGCTTAACATATTTTCAGTGTAACATTACGTCCTTATGTTATGAGTATTGTCTTCGCAGCTGGCTAACTGGGTAATAATTTAAATGGTAGCACTTTATAATTGCCGCATCGAGGTTCGAACTCATGTATTATTAATGTTACGAGCTTAAGGTTCGTGACAGTAAAAATTGCCGATTGAATTACCAAAATTGACACTTTAATTACTGAACACCAATTAAAACTTAAATCACACTAACAATTAATCACACTTTATTTCGCTCCGAAAGCTTCGCTCGTATCGCCAATTCAATACTGCCCCGGTCGCGGCCTTAAACGGCTTTATATAGACATTTTCCTATATAAAGCCGTTAAGGGTCTACTAGGTGTAGAAAATTCGAGTGTGGAGTTTTCCAGAAAGCTTAGTTCTTCTATTCGATACTAGATGGCGCTAGTGGGAGAGTTCTAGAGAAAGATCTTGACACTCCTATTTTTGATACTTGATACAAGATGGCGCGCAACATTAAGCATTAAGATCAGGCTTTGTTCCTATTACTACCATGGTTTGAGTGAAATTGGAACGAGCTGACCAATATGTTATAATTCGATCACTTGAAGCTCTATAGAGGTGATCTTTTTAAGGTTTTTTCGCTCAGTAATCAGTAAGGTATCCAACTTAAGCAAAGTTAGTGAAAACTGCTGATGGCCTTAATTCTATTTATGAAATAAATACTTTGTAGCAGCAAGAAAATCTGTCATATCCTGGCGAATATTGTCGTTTTTCGGAGATGTCAGAATAAGTAGAGGTTAATGTAAATAAAAAGGAGGTTGTAAATTTTTTGAATGTATATAATTGTTTTGATATTTTAATATGATTTCACACATGTTTTATATCATTATGGATTTTCAACCAATATATTATATAGATCACCAATATATTTTGCAATATACATCCAAATTTGCAGAGTAGATTCAAAAGGAGAATATATAGCCGAATGGTGAAGAAAAATTAATTTAAAAAATCTCAAACATTCTGTCCTTTTATCTCTTATATTCAAACTGCGTGGTAATGCATTATTTTAACTGATTGTCATTCATAAATATCTCACGGCTGCCATTCGTAATGGTCACTCAGACAGCAAAACCGTTTTTAATGGAATCGCACACAAAGTAGCCAGCGTACGCGTCGTTGTTACCCATAAATTACATTCAATTTGGAATAATTTGAGATAAAAAGTAGAAGAGTTATTTACTTATTTACTCGTATTTTTAAAAGCTGCAATAACGGTATATCATTATTTATATATTTGAACTTAATTTTATAATTTGGTTACTCTTTGAAAAATAACCCTGTATAATATAACCTCTCTGAAATAACGGAAGCCTGTGCCCAGCAGTAGGAAGTATGAAGGCTGTAAGTTGTTTTCTTACATTTACTGATATAATATAGAATCGTAATAATAGCCGTGTATATTGGCGATGTAAGAACTTATTATCGTGCCATGGGTCTTGTAAGAGGCGACAGAGAGAAAATGAAGTAGGAAATGGA